TTTCCCCAAGTTCACATCACAACAACAAGCTGACTGACATCATCACCTCCCCGAACTAGAATGAGGTTAGCTGGGAGAGAGCAACTTTTCAGGTACACAGCTAGACCTAAATTGGGGGATTTTCCTAAATAAGCTACTCAAATCCTCTCAAACGGCACTACTTAGCTATAAGATGGGATTTCAAAAGATCAGAGAAAAATTCCATTATCTTCTCATTTAATTTTCTGAAGCCCCCAGACTTCCTTTGACCTGCAATTACTTTGTCAAAGTGGTACCACAGCACATACACAATTCTGTATACTGCCTTTTCACTTCAAAAGGTTTTCCCGGCAGCGATCTGGTCTTCACAAGCATCACTTTAGTGGGTTCCACACTCATTGCCTGGGGCCCTAGGACATCACTAGCTCTGAGAACTGGAGAGAAGGGATACACTGGTACCTGGAGATTGACAATTATGGATAAATGAAAGAAAATCCTCGTTTTTCAAAGATAATTGTAAACGGGATAACAAATTTAAAACCAAGAACGTCTTTAAAATGGAGACCATTTTTTTCAAAGCAAACCACAAAAGATTGGCTTGCTTTGTACCTCATTCTGAACTATTAAGGCAAAGACTACCGAGATTTTTATTTAGTTTTGTGAAAGTTTTTAATTACAACTCTGCAAATTCTTCACTACAGTACATCAAATGTGTTATCAAAGGCTGATGAGGTCATGTGAGACACCATTTTCTTCCCTTCCCAGCATAATCACGTTTCCCAACTGAAAGCAGGAATGCAAATTTGTACAGCAATGCTCACTCCAACATTATTTGATGCAGCCAAAAGGTAGATACAGCTTCAGTGTCCATTAACAGGTGACTAACATGTGAGACATAGAAAGAAATGAAGCCCCATACAAGCCACGACAAGCACGCTGAATGAAAAGGGTCTGATACAGAAAGGCAGCTGTGCTGTGCTCCCGGGTATGAACTGCCTAAGGTGCCAAGGCTTACCAGCGGGAAGAAGGAAGAGAGGGAGGCTCACTGCTTGCAACACTGAGCTCCTCTTACGGGTGAGGGAAATTTAGAAATGAACCATGGCAATAGTTGAACAAGAGAAATATAACTAATGCCACTGAATGGCAGACGTGAAGAATGTTGGCAAGGCAAATGATGTATTACAGGTCTTTCCCATAAAAAAATATAAGCAAAAACTTAAAAATGCATTTTTTGCAAAAGTATTTGAGAATATCATCAACTTCCCAAAGGTCGCTTCTTTATCTTTCCACATTCAAATCATTCTCCTTCGACAACCTCATCAATTTCCTACAGATTCCCGTTTCTGCTTGCTCTTCCTAACAGTAACTTTGTGCACAGACTGGTACTCTTACTCTGCAGCATCCCTTTTGCTGACTATCAGAAAGAAACCTTCTATCTCTACACAAACTGCAAATTCACTTTGCAGGTGATTTCCAATGCTCTGGTGTGGTTTTTAGGCAATTTACCAAACTTCTTCACCTTCTCGCTATATCCCCTATCTGTAAAATTGTGACAAAGGCAATATTGTTAAAAGGTAGAAATTAGTTACTTCATGTAAAGTGCTTTCAAGTGCTTGACCATCAATAAATGTTACTTGTTACTACTTGCTCAGAAAACAAGACACAAAGAAGGCATGGCCACTCAGAGAGAACGGATGCTAGGGACACGAGGGAACAGAGTCTGTACCGAAATTAATGGCTAAGTGGCCAGTGCATTAATAGTCTTCAGGTGACTTTTACAGCCCTATGTAACATGACAAATTGGGGGTGGGGTAGGTCAGATTACAAGGACTTCATCCCCACCCCCATATAGTAGTGTGTCACAAGTACTACTATATAGTTCAGAAGGGGCAAAACTTCCTAATTAGGGAGGGGGTAAAGTCAAGACAGCTTATGAGATTGTAGTAAAATGTAGATGAAAGAGCAGCATACTGACCTAAGGATCCAGCATATCGGGTCAAAAGA